AATCCTACAGTCCACATGATTGTTTGACTGTTATTCACATAGACTCAGCAGGGGCTCTAAAATTGAGGGAACTCCTGTTCTGTCCTATATTTTCTGAAGGTCATAACCAAGATTCACATCTTGGTGCCACTGGAAATACTGATGCCAGACACCAGCAGTGAGAAGGGGAAAGGGACAAAGCTGTTCAACCTCATCACAGGGAACTTCCCGGTACCAATGCAGAATAGGTGTTATGAGTAAAACACACAATTCATTCAAACAAATGCCAACTTTTAAAACAGAACGTAGCTCACTCATGCTCATTCATTTCAGTCTTGGTTAACTACTGTGAATGTTTGTGTTCTTGTTAGCTGTTAGTGTCAGGTAACGTGCATTTTATTATGTTTTTTTGACAGGGTGTAGCCTTCACTGCTATCCAAAGGAAGTATTTAATGAGAGGAAAGGACTGGATTACATTCAGCAGCTGTGTGCTCCAGAATTTGGCACAGTCCGCATGGAAGTGCAAGCTAAGTACGCCACTGAGTACAATAATGTTGAGAAATAGATATACTCTAACACTATATATATTTTTTATGACCAAATGTCATGATTTGTTCAGGTATTATTGCCTGGCAGCAGCAGCTGCTTTGCTGAAATATTTAGAGTTCATCCAGAACTCTGTCATGCTGCCAAGTCTCTCAAAGTGAGCTTTAAAGGGAGTGAACAGACGGCAATGATTGACTCAACATCTGCCTCCAACTTGGAGTTGGTGGTCAATATAGAGACCACAGGTAAGCATTGGTGAGCATTATCTTCATCTGTGTAGTGCTTGTATAATCCCATAAGTGTTAAGTCCATCTGTCTCTGCTTATCTGTGTATAGGAGTGAGCAAAGTCTTTTAGGGGTGCTTAACCACACTAAAACACCTGGTGGTGCTAGAAGGTTGCGCTCCAATATTCTGGAGCCTCTGGTTGATGTGGACACCATCAACATACGTTTGGACACCATACAAGAGCTGCTCCAGGATGAGGAGCTTTTCTTCGGCCTGAAGACTGGTCAGGAACAAGCACAGTTTTTAATCACATAATAATGTGCATACTGAAGATGAGTGCATGACACAGTATATATCACCTAGTGAATATCTGTTCTTTTGCACTCCTCAGCCATAGGTAACTTCCTCGACATTGACCAGCTTCTCTCTGTTCTTGTCCAAATCCCAAAGCAAGAAACAGTATGTACAGTACTTTGATTGCCCATGATTGTATTTGTAGATTTTATTGTAATGGAATTCATGTGTGTTTTAAAATGCTTAACTAACTAACTAACTAAATACCACAAAATGCGTATGTGTGAAATATTGATTGGTCTTTCTCTTGTTGTGCACTTTTCACTGCTGTATTTCCACAGGTTCAAATTGCTGAAGCAAAAATTACACATGTCATTCAGCTGAAACACACATTGGATTTGGTGCCACGGTTAAGGGTCTGTGTCTGTTCACATGGAATAAGTTTAAAATCAGCCTACAGCCACAGATAGAATGAGAGAAAGGCTTTTTATTCACAGAATCCTTTTCATGAACAGATGGTGTTGAAGAACTGCAACACAGCTCTACTTAAGGCATACAGCACCTCATTGGAAGATAACAGGTACTAAGCCTTGTGGCTGTGTCAGATGTAAATGGACTATCGTGTAATGTCTACAGACTCCTTCCAATGTGTATCTCTGTGTCCACCTCAGGTTTGGCATGATCCTAGAGCAGATCAAGACAGTGATCAATGATGACACTACCTACCTGAAGGGAAGCCTGAACATGCGCACGCAGAAGTGTTATGCTGTCCGCCCCAACATCAATGAGTTCCTTGACATTGCTCGCAGAGCTTACACTGAGATAGTGGACGACATTGCAGGTGTTTATTCTGGCTGTTCAGTTTATATCTTTGGTTTATGTTTGTGTAACATATTTATATCACAGTGCTTTATTATGCACAGGACTAGTGAACCAGATTGGGGAGAAATATAGTTTGCCAATGCGTACCAGCTTCAGCACCGTTCGAGGTTTCTTCATCCAGATGAGGCTTGAAGGAGTGGTCTTACCTGAAGGGAAACTCCCCCCAGAGTTTATCAAGGTATAGTCCAGTAAAGGCAGAGAGAGTGACAACACTGACAGCTAGCAGACTAATTAAGGACAGAAAAAAGGATTACTCAACATCAGCTGTGAATGAAGGAAGCTAAATCGCCCCTCATGGGGACAATAAAGTTTGGATCATTGAATGAACATAAAAGCTGCGTGTGTTTCAAATTTTTTCCACCTCAGGTAACCAAGCACAAGAACAACTATGGCTTCACTACTGTGGACCTGGTGAAGATGAATGACCGCTGTGATGAGGCCCTGAGGGAGATCTTTCACATGTCCTATGTGTGAGGAGATCATGATCCTATGACTTACAAATGTGCTTGTAATTACACTGTACTGTATATTGAAAGAAAGAAAGATTACTTTGTACAAGGGCTGGGCTCGACTTAAGAATGCTTTAGCTGAGTAATCATGAGATTTCTTTGAGTAATTATTTGATTTATATCTGTCAAATTGTTTCTTTGGAATGGTTTTTGTTCCGCAGATGAATGTGATTATGCAGACGTGTGCTTAAATTCAAAGCTCATCTTTAAATATTGTTTTGATGCCAGAGACGTGACTATTTTATTTTATTTTATTTTATTATTTTACTGTAATGACTGACTTAATCCCCAGATAAAAAAGCCTAAAAAATAATGTCCTAGTTGACAAATTAGTCAACGCATTAAGTAAAAGCAGGCAATACAAGCTTGTGCATTTCTCTATCTAGGCAAGTTCTCATCCCATTAACAGTTGATTTAGATCTGTTTGTTTTGTACAACTTTGCCTCCACTAGAGGGAGCCGTTTGTTAGATATTTTCCTCCGGTGCTTTGCCCCTGCTGCATCTAATCTGTCTCTTCACACAGGGTGATATGCCAGCTGCTGAGCACTGTCCATGAGCACATTCACTGCCTTTACAAGCTCTCTGATGCTGTTTCCATGCTGGACATGTTGCTGTCTCTGGCCAATGCATGTACCATCTCAGACTACGGTAAGTATGATTCCTTGTTAATTTCCAACCTCAGGTCAGCCCAACTGTCAAATTAACCTTGGAGAAGTCTGATCTGTTGTCTGAGGGAGTGGTGCTGTATGCACATAAGGCAGCACCCAGCCTACGTCACACATGACAGAAACTGCTCCACCAGGTTGGCAGCTCTGCTGGCCTCAGTTCTTTTTTGTGGGGGTTGTGGGCAGCACCAGCCTGATCAGCTACGTGGGTGGTGAGCGCTGGCCCTCAGCTGTCTGAAAGTGTATCTCCATAGACATGTGCCTGCCCCCCTTCTATCCCAGCCAGCGTGTACTCAGATTACCCTTGTTACATAAGTCTGCACTGGTGTGCTGTATTCACCGAGACAAATCTCACCAGCAGAGGACCTAGCTGGCTGTAACCACTGCATGCAACCCTCTCAGAAATCTGTTTTTATTATATTGTGACACACCTTTCAGTTAACTAGACAGCAATTAATAATGTAAGTAACTGAATTATATAGATTAAATCATATCCCTTTCTTTTGATATGCAATGAACAACACATTGATAATCATCAAGATCACAGTTAATTCTTTTTGATCAGCCCATAGACACGCACAAAATAGAGTTATATAAACAAAATACCGACAGACAGAGGCATTTTTGATTGTTGCTCGTTATTTCTGCTGTGTCTGCCAGTGCGTCCAGAGTTCACAGACACACTGGCCATCAAGCAGGGTCGTCACCCCATTTTGGAGCGAATGGCTGGACAGCAGGCTGTATCGAACAATAGCTACATCTCCGAGGGCAACAACTTTGTCATCATCACCGGTCCCAACATGAGCGGCAAGTCCACCTACCTCAAACAGGTGGCGCTGTGTCAGATCATGGCTCAGATAGGTCAGCAGCAAGCCTTTCAGCCTCCCACGAATTTGGAATTCAATGCCGCTTGATTTGACTTGATTTCTGAGTAAAGCCTTTGCATTATTATTTCAGGCTCTTTTGTCCCTGCTGAGTATGCCTCTTTTCGTATTGCTGACCAGATTTTCACCAGAATTGGTGTGGATGACGATTTTGAAACTAACTCTTCCACCTTCATGTTGGAAATGAAGGAGGTATGTGCTTTTTTACATTAGGTCTGCTCACTCAATCAAAAAAATCATTAAATTATCATTGACTGCATCTTTCCTCCCCAAAGATCTCTTACATAATCCACAACATAAGTGACCGATCCCTAATCATCATAGATGAGTTGGGGCGTGGAACCAGTGCTGAGGAGGGCATCGGAATTTGTCACTCAGTTTGTGAGTTCCTCCTTAGCCTCAAGGTACAATATGCTCCAATACAGCCCTGCTCTGCCACTCCTTTCTCTAAAATGAAAACCAGATAAATAAGATTCCTGTACTTTATTTGAACCATTTAATTAGTAATAGTCTATTGTGGTACACCTCTTAGGTCAACAGTGAAGTAGTAAAATAAATACAGGAGTAGTCTAATTTTTCAGTGTTGTAATCTTAAAGGTGTGTGCTGTTTCCCTGCTGTTTGCAGGCGTTCACCCTGTTTGCCACACACTTTCTTGAGCTGTGCCAGCTAGAGGCTCTCTATCCCAATGTGGAGAACCAGCACATGGAGGTTCAGCACACACGCAGCGGTGACACTGGGGATGAGGGTGTGGTGTACACATACTTGCTTAATCGAGGATGCTCTGAAGAAAGACACTATGGTGCGGAGTCAGTGTCAATCTATGTATAGTACAACTCTGTTGAAATTGGTGAGGAGAGTAGTTACAGAGCTTGTTTTTGCTCTTCTAGGTCTGAAAGCAGCAGAAATGACTTCACTTCCTTCAAACATAATCCAAGAGGCAAAGACAATTGCCTCCAATGTTAGCCAGCAGCTTTTGGTATGGTTCATAAAGATAAGATTGCCTTTTTTTTACTACTGTCTTTGGTGTCTCAAACGGTGTACCTTTTATTTACAGAACATTTTAGCTGGTGCTTTTACAGCATGCCCCACATTGTGTGCAACAGTACATTAATTTACAAGAAACCAATGTGAGACCCTGAAAAAGTCAAGTACCACTTATTACAGATAGCACAAATATTGTTGTGTCCCAAAAATAATCATGTTTTATATCAGAGAAGTGCTGGATAAAGAGACAAGACCCATGGTGTGGTTTATTATCACTCTAGGCCAAACATCACAGTGATCCGGAAACACAGAGGCAGAGAGCTGTGTACCACCTGGCTACCCGCCTCCTGCAGACTGCCAAGAACTCCAGACTGGACCCAGACAGCTTGCGTATGTATCTAAAGGGCCTGAAGAAGCAGTATGAGGCGGACCTGCAGGCAGCAGGGCAGCCAGCGTCCAATGACACAGAGGAGGAATGACTGACTCAGCCTTACAGTGGGGAGGGGCAGTGATACAGTTAGAAAAATTTAAGATCAGTGTCTGATGATCATTTCTGGGCGTATTATGTTTATTATGCTTTTTTTGACAGGGTTGTTATATATGGGTTGTTTGATATTAAATTTACTTATTTAAACTTAAGTGTTAATGAGTTTCTTTTTGACCATACTATTAAAAGCAATATAATTTTACACCACAGGTTCATTTTGGAAATGTCATGTAAACTGTTGCAACATGTGTTCAATACCTAAAGAAACGCTCCTGATACCATAAGAAATTCCAATAAAATACGTGTTTGATAATTAGATACGATAGATGTACTGGATGTCCTTGTAGATATATTGAAGTACTATTTGTACCCATGTGTCTTATGGACTTTAGGGGGAAGTGCGGTGACCACTCCCCTCTTTTGCTTTGGTCGAGCGTAAGATTTATGTGCCAAGGCTGTCTCGAAAAGGCGGAGCTATCACTTGTTCTGCATTATGTACTGAGAGCTGCGGACGGTATTCGTGGAGTTACAAAACAAGCGTCCCTCAGCAGCCTGCCTATGACCCGCCCCCGCGAACCAGAAACAGGAGATAGGATAGCGCAGAAGAAAGCCAGGCTGGAGCTGCCCCGGGAAGTCAGGAGTCTGCCAGAGTCAACGCAAACAACGCCATTTCACCACTCGCTGAAGAAACAGCAAACTGAAGATACAGGTATGTCGTGAGCAGCTGTTTTCGGCGGTTTTGTGTTTATTTCTTGTCAAAGGGCCGTCCATCCCGGTCGTAGCGCAGCTAAGCTCTTTACCCAGGCCTGGGAACGGCCCTCAGGACTTGAACGGAAGAATGAAGCGGCAGACCGGGTCAGAGATTTCAGGCGAGAGGGAGGCTGGGTCACCAGCAAGATGAGGCCCGTGGGGGCAGATGTCCACGCCTCTGGACGGTCTAAGTGTTGGTGAAAGAGAAACAAACTTGGGTGTTTGTTTTAACAATGTAGCTTGTCAGTTTTATAGGACTTCCTCTGTACTAATAATGGGATTGGCCGGCTAACGTCAGTGCCTGGCTCATGGTAGTTGACGTTAGCTAGCTCATTCAGAGTGATAGGCTCTGGCAACTCAGTGAGACGAACTTGAGTGGAGACGAAGCTTTCCTGTGTGGATTTAACTATTATAGCAAGTACTTGTAACCACGTCCAGGCCATTATTGAGAATCCACTGTTATAATGATTGTTTTGTTAGTCGTGTCGGTGAAGTGAGCTAGTCGTCGACAAATGTCCCTCTACTTTCTGTTTCGTGGGTGTTTAGTTATTATAACGTGTGACTAAGGAGCTAACGTTAGCTTGGGTAACTTAGCAGGAACGATTAACACTAAGTTAGGTCAGTTTTGCTTTTTCTGTGATTACAGGCTGTATCCACAAACAGCCTTTTCTTTGGTGTAAAAACAGCTGCCATAACGTCTCTTGGTTCAGCAGTCTGCACAAGGCCGACGATTAGACATGATCTAGCATGCTGGGGCATTTAGCACTCAACCATAGTTGCTGCCCTGGTTGAATGATGAAGATGCTTGCTATGTCAAAGACAAGTCGAGGTGTTGTAACTTATTTGTGGTACTTAAAATGAACGACAACCTTACTACATCTGCAATCAGGTGGCGAATAAAGACACGACGCACTGTACCCTGATGACTTATAGATCTATTTAGTTTAATAAACTTACTTTAATGCTAAGCGATCTAAAGTACTTTTATGAAGATCTTTGGAAATCCTTAAAGTGTTTGGCCACACTTTGCGGAACTTTGTCTTAGCCAGAAAGAGCAGACCAATACCTATTGGTTAATGTTTTCCACCATAACCAGGTGCTCCACTGTGTACTTTGCTACTTTCTGCGTAGTTTATGACCAGAATACTGATTGTGTCTTATCAGTTTGTGATACAGCAGAACTACTCAGACAGAACCATCTTCAATCTTTCACTCTACAAAGTTTCTTTGCTCTCCATTGATGTGCTTTTTAGTAAAGCGTTGTCATCTTAAAGATGTTAAGTGTAGAGTCCTGCATGACCTGGTTTTCAAATACTGTCTGAACTGCTTTTTGGGTCTGATAGTTATCAGAAGTTCCCTCTCGGGCCAGGCCTGCCAAATCAGGAGGCCTGGCCAGCCAAGTGGCTAGATTCCGGGGAGCCAACAGCCCGAGAGGGCTTTGTCCTCCGGGCTCATTTTAATGCTGGGACAAGGCTCAGGATGTACGGGGAAACACATGCACCTTCCACTCTGAGTACTGGGGCTGAAAAAAAGCAAGCAGGCTTCACACTTTTACACCACCCATACGTAAAAAGCCAAGAACCAATGTTGCTTTAAGTTATGTCACAGTTTGATTTTTGTCTGACATGGAAGATTTCTAGAACATGTATTGAACTTGGCATAATGAAAGTAAATACTGAAAATAGGTATTTAAAACCTTGTTTTCCCGTTCCCACATGGTGTGTATGTAGTACACACTGTACTATAGATTCTTTATGTCTTCTTTTATAGCTATAACTAGCAAAACGGTGAGAGTAGTTCGTGCACAGTGCTCTCTAAACCAACAGATATTTCAACAACATTTTTTATGAGTTTGCTGTCAACTGTAGCCTATGGAGCGTGGAGGAATGCATGGCCTTTGACACAGATGCCATACAAACAAACCAGAGGAAATGAAGTGGATACGTGTTGAGCGTGTATGGCAAACTTTTCTAATCAACGAGTAAGACCAGCCGATTGAATGTGTTCGTCGGAATCAAGGCTCTTCATAAAGTGTTATAATATAAGCTGATAAATAGTTATATAATACTGAATAGTTTGGTGCTTGAAAGGCAAAAACATTTTTCAGCACTTTGTAACTTAGTTTTTAAAAGTGCTATACAAATAAAGTTATTATCATTATTTTTCAGAGTAAGATGAGTCAAATAATCATTAAAACAAACCTGGTACATTTTTGTGTGCTGTGGAAGATGTAATGAGAGGTTTTCGAGGTGGGCGTGAAACAGGGTCAACATTACACTATAGGGCTAAGCCTGCCAGTCCTCAGGAAGCCCTGCAGTGGAAAGTTATTCTTAAATGTATTATCATGGGTAATCTGCTTAATCCAAATTACTAAAGAGGTCTGCTCTACGACGCTGACTCCTACGCTATATTACTGCCACAGATCTTGGGTATAGGACTGGATTGCACTGCATGTCAAGTCACTCACCATTGGTGCCGCTATGTATTGTTGATGACACAATGCTGCTGTCGTCACCCAGGGCTTAACTTGTTCTCCGTTTTTAAAGCAGTGGTTTTATTTTTGTAATAACTGCGTATGTTTGCACAAGGCTTTGCACTGCTGTGTGTTGGGTTGCAAGACATACTCTTCAATGTTTGAAATGAGATCTATTTCTGTTATCAGAAGTGTTGGCACTATTTTACAAAACTGCAGCACCACCTTCGCGATTGTAACATCAAACATGTCATCTAGGGTGTTGTCAGATTGCTAAAACCGAAGAAAAAAAATGTTCTGCAAGAAAAAGTATTTAATCCAAAAACGAAAGAAATAAGAGCATAAAAGAGGAAATCTGGAAAAATGCCAAGCCCTCTGCCTACTTCAACAGCTGACATGGACATTTGACATGTTTTTGATAGCATTTTGTTGAAAATGTTGGCAGTGTTTCTTCTTAATTTCTTTCACATGCATTGGCTGAGAAATTGCATTAATTGATATACTTATGTGTAAAATACATGAGTAATTATTGCTATGACAAATAAATCCACCTCATCTTAATAGTCATGTTGCAGGCATTTCCTCAGTGTCATTTATGCCAATACATGGAGCGTTAGTTGGTTTTAGTTGCATGTAGTGATAATAAAGTGTGTTGTGTCTCAAATGAATACTGCTTTATCCGCATTGATTCCACCCCAGCTCATTCTCGCTGCGTAGCCTTCAGGGGACAACATATAGTTCCTAAGAATATCTTTGGCAGATGCTAAACTGATGTAGTCTCAGGACCTCTTGACTCTGAACTTTGTCTGCGATGGAAGAAGAACCTCTTCTTCCTTGGCTTGAAGCAGGCAGGGGCCAAGCTGCAGCTGCAGCAGACCTCAGTGAGTGACACTTGCACGTGGATGTATTTTTGCCTCTTGCAAATCCATCCTGATATGAGTTTAGAATACCACCATGTCGTCCTTGTGGGGGCTGAAGGAGGGAAGTGACTAAATGAGACAGTGAGCTATCTTCTTTTTAGCCTAGTTGTCTCTCTGATGTTCTTGACCTATTTTGTCCCCCTTTAAGCCAGTGTGAGTGAAGTTGATGGCTTTCATTCTCCTCTATAACGGTCTTCTATCTGGCTCTTAACAGCCAGTGTTTCAAGTAGATATGCCTTATTCTCTATGAACTTATTAAAATGGAGGGCGGGTGTTAAGCTGTGTAGCTTGGTTATGGTTATCTAATTGGATCATATCGCTAAGAGAGGACAGGGTGTCAGTGAGAGTCCTCTCACTCGCTGCCTCTCAGCACTATTGATGTACTAACACCTCCTGTCCATTCCTTTGTTGCCATGATGTCTACAGATTTGCAGATGCATGTTGTGATGTGGAATGGAGCATGTCTGCTTTTTAACTGTTGGTGTGACCAAGCGGCCTAAACTAAGCATCGTGTCTCCTTCTCTTCAGAATGGCGGTGGATATCTACGACTCTCAGTACCTGCTCATCCTGGCCCCTTCCCTGGTCATCGCCCTCATGTTCCTCTTCTTCTGGCTCTTCATGAAGGAAACCTCCTACGACGAGGTGCTGGCCAGGCAGAAACGTGACCTCAAGGTACCACCATCCAAGCCAGACACCCGGAAGAAGAATGAAAAGAAGAAGAGCAAGAAGAAGGAGAGTGCCAGCGGAAGTGGCGGTGGTGGAGGAGAGTCTGAAGAAGATCTTCGGGATTTTGACGTGACTGATGGTGCCACCGGCTCCGCTGTGGAGGTAGAGGAGGAGCCTGCACCAGTGGCTACACCAGATCCTGCTCCACCAACACCTACTCCCTATGTGCCTGTGTCAGTGTCACCAGAGTCCTCTGTCGGTCTGAGGGAGAGAAAAAAGAAGGAGAAAAAGGCAGCCAAGGCGGCTGCTGCTGCTGCCGCAGCTACAACCCGGTCTTCTGAG